GTATTCTCTGCCGATTTATTAGCCCAATCACCCCGGACTGGACCTTCCTTCCCCTATTCAGGATCTGATCGTCACACAATTTGAGGTGCGCCTCGGCCTCAAATCAGAACTAGGGAACCCGTTAGTCTTGGCTGACGTAGCTTGACGAATATCCAAACAACCACTCCAAACCCTGGCCTCGCTATCCCACAATTACCCGCCTGTCCGCCGCCCGTCAACCTCCCATCCCTTGCTCCGCCCGAACAACGACACCACGAACCAAGAAAAATCTTGGATTTCATTATAACGGGCCAGGCGAATCATACCCCATCACGCACTGTATACGATAAATCTTGATTTTCGTAGATGAGGTTGCGTCTTAGTATAAATAGACTTCATGTATTTCTATGCGGAAGGGTTATTAGCTATTTGGTGGACCATCACTGCTCTCTCCCCCAGCTATCTAACAAAAAAACTGAGATGACTGGCTTCCTGAGTCATTTCTGGCGTGGTGCTCCGATGGCTACTGAGAAACATGTTCATCCAGCTACTCCTCGGACGAGTACTACAAATCAAAATGGTCTGGGACAGATTGATACCGGCACGATGGCTACGGCGGGAGATATAGAGGCTGGAGGGGAGGAGTGTGAGGGCTGGGTTGATCCATACGGAGGTCCACCTACAGTTAATCAGTGGTTTAAGTGGTATTGGCATGATGTTCTTGCGTGAGCACCTATCACTCCAAATTCAGCTCTGGTGAACAGAAAATTAACAGGGGCATAGATTCATCTTTCTGATCGCCATTTCGTTATGGCTACTTATGTGGAGCCCAGTTCCCTATCGGAAGTTATTTGCTGTGACAGCCAATCCAGGAAATCAAGTAGACGGGTGGGTGCCCTGTTATCTGGGTCTAACCTTCAACCAAATGTAACTCTGACCAACCAAATTAGTTCCTCCGGAATCGTAAGCAGCTCTTTCGCCCACCCCAAGCGCAAACAAATTATCCCCATCATAGCGGATGCTATGATAGCAGTCTTCGCCCCAATAATCTCCATAATCCTAATCAACACCCTAGGAATCGCAACCCATGGTCCGCACGGCAAGCGTCTACGCATGGCCGGCAAGCGTGGTGGCGTCCTGCTTGGCCGCGGGTCTTTCTGGAACGTCAACAACGGCTGCATGGGGGTAATCTACTCCGTCTTGACCGGTGCCGCCCTACAAATCATCATAAAGTTAGTGATCGGCGGGCTGAGGCCACACTTCCTCACAGTCTGCGATCCTCAAATCGACGGCGTTCCAGGAATGGGATACGGAGGGTTATATTTCGACACGAGTGTCTGCAGAGACCACACAGACTCCAAAAGACGAGACGAGATCGCCAACGCGATGCAGAGTTTCCCATCCGGCCACTCCATCGCCGCCTGGGCCGGCCTCATGTATCTAAGCCTGTACTTCAACGCGCACCTAAAGATATTCTCAAACTACCACCCCTCGTACTGGAAACTCCTCCTCTTCATTACGCCCATGCTCGCCGCCACGCTAATCGTTGGCTCACTGTCGTTGGACATGAGCCACAACTGGTACGACACGGTTGTCGGTTCGGTAATGGGCGTTGTCATGGCCATTCTCTCATACAGGATGTGTTTTGCTGCAGTTTGGGACTTCCGCTTTAATCACATCCCGCTCGCCCGAGATCCACGGATCCCCGGATTCGGTTACAGCATCGAGGAGCTGGAGGATTGGAGTGGGGGATGTGCTACCAGAAGGGGTGGCTGGGGCGTTGCTAGACGGTACACAACGTTCAACCACCGGTTGGGTGCCCCGGGGGATTGCGCATTTCAGAGTGCCGGGGTGAGTAGCGGGGTTGGGGGTGTCGATTCTGTGGGGGGGCAGAGGCACCATTGACATGACCGTGAATACCCGAGTGCGAGTACAGCGAGGGGAGTGGGGTGAGGGAGTTGGCTGTGCTAAACGGAACCAGGGGACCCCCGTTTAACTCCAAAACTAAAAATATAATGTATAACATGTTATTTCCTCTAGTTTCACCTTCCTTTTCTTGCCTTCTAACTTTATTCCATCAGGCCGCAAATGACACCCTTCCATTCGCTGTCTTCCTATCTTTCATTTCCCTACCGTATACCCCCTACATCCCCCATCTATCCACCCATCTATCCTGTACCTTAATGCCAAATAAAATACCACAAATTAACAGCCATCACGATTACAATTTACCAAATATGTCCTCATCTCCTTAACACACGTGGGGGTGCAAAGGCGCAAGCTTTCTCCTACACGAATGAGGAAAGAAAACCTCCACACACCACACCAGACAACTCACCCGAACACCCGACGCAAACCCAACGCGGATAAAGCTCTATTTATCATGTCTGTCATGCAGATCCCGACGCACGGCTAAGTAGTTCATGCGATGTCACTCGGTTCTGGGATCTGGCGAGGCAGGGAGTGAGGGCCACGGGGAGGGCAAGCCGTAAGCAAGTAAGTACTGATAGGGATAGGTGTGCATTACCGCCTTGTCTGCTAATCTGCGCCTGTCCGATGAGAGAGGGTGTATATGTGGCATAGCGGATCCGCGGTGACAAAACATGTGGGGCCGGTTTTCCCTGCAGTAGACGTTCACGGAAGTTGGTGCAGCCTTGGGATCCTGGGTGTCGGGAAATTGGGGGGTTTGGGAGGTTTGGGATGCGTGGAGCTTGGAGGGGTATGGGTTCCGAAGGAGCATGTTGGGGCAATTTTTCCGAAGGGGCTTTCGTTGATCCGTTTCCTACCCCTCAATCCGTGTGCAGATCCCCCAGCTTTTTGGTACGGTTAAAGGACCCGGGTTAGCCTAAAGTCTTTACCGAAAGGCACTACGGCCCGGCAGCTCTTGCTATGATGGGGCCTGTAGAGAGACAGCTGCAACGATCGCCACACTTGAACCTTTTCCTGCAGCCGTTCGATAGAAGAGTTCGTGAAACCAGTCTTGCGTTAGCCATGTACAGTACAGTATCCTCAACACAAGGGATAGCTGATAAGTTGAAGTTGAATTTGGGCTAGCACCGAAGAATTTCTTTTTTTTCTTTCCCGAATTTCAATGCGGTATGTACCACTACAAGTGTCTTTTCTATCCTGTTCCTCCACAGCTAATCAACCCAGCGGCCGCCAAATAGCTTACACCCGAGAAAAAACCGCCCGGGGGTCTAACGGTGAATGCGGAGAAAGGAACCATCATTGCACCATTCACCAGATGTCATCTTGTAGTGTCCAGGATTCCCTTTCTCAGGATGACGATTCACCAGTCCGCAAAGATCATAATTTTAACTAGTTGGAAGCCTAGCAATAGTATTATTATAGTAGAACACCACCCTTATTCTCCTACAAGTGCGCCCGATCAAATAAATTAGTTACTCGGGTTTTTATAAGGAAGGTTTAGTGAACGCTCTTGCTGCAGTATGTCCAGACAAGGCGCCTAACTAATATGTCTATCAGCCGCGCTTCTAATTTAAATCCAATTGAACATGCATGGGTTGAGCTTAGGAAAGCGACCACATCAGCAGTACAGTACCCAAGGATTGGAGATACCCTAAAAGGGGAAAAGGCTGTGGGGAAGAGGGGGGTCGAGGGGATCGGGGGGGTCGGGGGGACTCTTTGTGAAAAACGGTGCTCAATAGATGGACTGATGTTCTAGCAGCGGATGAAGGTTATACCAAGCATGAGATATCAGCTCACATCTGCATTATCCTCATATTATTAAATTTTAGGCCCCGTTCGGTTGGTTATTTTTATGATCATATATTTTTTTATGATCATAAAAAGTTGCAAACATATATGTCGTAAACTCTTGAAATCCACTTATCAGATTATCAACGGAACTCAGCCCGTCAGCCTACAATAGATCTAGTTTGACAGGTTAAGAGGATTGCGAATACGGTACCAGTTAACGAGATCCATCCGACACGTTTCGAGCAGGCCGATCTTATACCGTGTCGGGAAAAGGCTAGTGCTTCCTATCATAGGAACTTTTGACCTAGAATCCGGAGATCATAGGGCGTCCGGAGATAGTGGATTTCAAGAGATTACCGGTATTGGTGGAATGAACCCCCACTGCCGGTACTCCGCGTTGGCTGATTGTGCAGTCGCAATTAATCATGTTTTATTTAGATCACGAAATCTTCTGTCGGGTGAGTGTACAAGTAATCTCCCAATCTTCTACAGTACTTGTAGGCAACGCGACGGGGGTGCGGATTACGGGATGGGGGCTTATTGGTACTGTACTAGTACTTTAGGCGTGAGGGAACAGCCGGGTCTGTCTATCATTTCTCATAGGGGAGTGATTATTTCCAATGCTCTTGCTTGTACTGTACAGTACCGTACTAGGCTGGCGTCAAAAATGGCGAGCAGAATGGCATGTAACAACTTAAACCATGCTACTTCACGCTTTTAATTCAATACATTCTGAAGCTGTAGAAAATTTGAAAAACTTATAGAATAATGTCAAATATCTCCACAAGTGCTCACAGATTATTAAAGCATTTCTAGCTACTTTGGCATGCAATATTGTAAAGTTGAAGTTGAAAACAGCGCCAAGCCTTGCCACCTCCTATACAAAATCATCAGAAATTGCGCCAAGACCAGTGCACCAACCATAACCTCTCAATAATTTCTCAGCCAGCTCAGATACAGAGTTCTAAAGGGTTGGAAAGTAAAATCTAAGGAATTATTTCATATATAGATCAAGATTTGGTATGGATTTCTTGGCTGGATCATTGTTTGGAAGGTCGTGAATATGACTGTTTTCAGTGGAAAACCCCTACACTGCTCATCTTTTTTGACGCCAGCCTCGTACAAGTATTGTCGCGAACAAAGATTCGCGGCTATAGCTCGTGACGCGATCCCACAGTGTATTATAATCCATGATTCAACGATAGTGCAGTGAGTCTCATAGCAATCGCACCAAGGTAACTAGGCAGGGTTGAAGAGCAAGCCTGAACAAAACAAAAAAGGACTTAGAGGGCAAAAAGATCCGACAACGACAGGATTTGAACCTGTGCTCGCGAACGAAACAGATAACTAGAATTTTGGGGATTCGAGTCTGTCGCCTTAACCACTCGGCCACGTTGTCTTGATGATTACATTTGACTTTGTGAATATATATAGCAAATTTTATTTGTGTTTATCTACAGTGTTCATCTCGGGCTTTGCTTCACAAAAACCCCATATGTGACTCCACTGCTCTAATTACCCAATAGTGGTTCTAAATTTAGATTCTCACCAGCCTTAACTCACCCTCCGCCACACCATGTCACCCTTCACTCGTTCGTCCTTCTACTGTCATTTGTTTTCATTCTAAGAACTATCATAGAACTTTGAAATGAAAAAACAGGTTACCCTACCATCGATGACGTCGATAAGACACTGTTTCAACAACGTTTCCTCCCAAACCCAACAGCCATGGGAACCAAAGTTTCAAGACTACTAGGCGCCTCAAGCACTCGAAAATACCCCACCCGAGCACCACAAGTCGCAAAACCTCCTTCCTGCCAATCGCAGGACCCGGTACAGGCTAGCTACAACAAAACTCAAGGTATGTGTGACACAGCACCGACTCAAAGGCAGCGCCCATTGATTCTCGGAGCTGTTGCTCTCATTGGTCGTTCCTAGGAGACAGGAGAAAACATGACTAATTTTTGAGCGGTAGATATTCTACGCGATGCCCAGGACCCGGATTACCAGAGTATGCTGAAAAGGGTGGGAGTCGCCGAGATATCGGACCCTGCGAGAAACATAGCTGTGAACGAAAAGGTGAGCGAACGTGTTGAACTGGATGAATTGCTAGGGGTGGGATGGGGGTACCCTGGTTTTTTCCTTTTTTTTCGTTGTGATTGTTGGCGGAGAGTTCGAGCGATTTTTTGTTGAATCGTTGAACTGAGTGACTGACAGTGGTGGACGGAGGGACGATTGCAGAGCTCGAATTCACTTCATACAATCTCCCGTCGTCAAGTGCTCTATGACCAGCAGCAGATGGAATCTTTGAGTAAGCAGGGCCGAGACAGGCGTACGTGGGTCGACACGTCGACTATATTTGAGATCCTAAAGCTTAGGGATGAGAAGAAATGGGAGGCCGAGCGCATCGAGAAAGAGTTGGGATTAGCACCTGGCCTGGTTGATAGGTTGGGGGATAGGGTTGGGAAACCATGAGTATTGATGCGAAGCAATAAAATGCAGAAACGGTCAGTCATGGCTGTGAGTTCAGCAGAAAAAAAAGAAAGAAAGGCTTGCATGACATTTCTGCGACTTATCAATGTACTCAGTACTCGGAATTGAGCGGTGTTTGCGGACACACCTGCTATTGCATGCCACCAAAATTCGGCTTTGTTGCTTAGATCTCTGTCATGCAATAGCGGTCGTACAAGTATCCGCAAACGTCGTTGAATTACGCTTATGTTGGTCCAGGGCAGCGGCTAACCGACCCTCTTGGTGTATAGCTTAATTGCCGCGCAAAAGAAAAGTTATCATGTACCTTTGTTAATTCGGGAACCGGTTTTTTCTTTTCTAAAGTCTCGAAAGCAGGGGAGCGTCTAGTTAGAGCATGTTCCGTGTGTCCATATTTCGGTAGGACCTGGGGGAAAGAAAGGAAAAGAAAGAAAGAAGAGGATGTGATATTATATTTTGGGGTATGAGTGCTGTACGAGTATAGGTCAGTCGTGGGTAGAGAGAAAGGTGTGGGGTGCTCCCTCGGGGGGATGGCCCAGCCTAGACAGGGTATCTAGCATCGTACGTAGAACCTCAAATTATTGGGCAGTGTGTCATGTCGTTGGAGTTGTCTCCTCTGGTGGATACTAGTATTTTTCCTCCCCCCACATCTTTCAGACGCGCTGAATAGCTCACCTTTTGCTGTGCTTTTTGCCCCTTTTCCAGAGAAGGAAATTTTGGACTACCTAGCACATGGTCCAATTATCCGCGATCCTTGGGTAACTCGATACCGGTAGAGAACCTCGAAATTTTTTTATTGTTTGGTTGGATCAGTTAAGACACTTGTGACGCCCACGTCCAAAGTCACGGGATTTTCAAGCTTGGGGACATATGCCGATCCATGCACGTAAAGGTGACTAGTACGGAACCGGTATGATACGGTATTTCACATTCAAGAGCTCAGGTTAGCCCCCACGACAGCAAGAACAAGATGAGTGCTCATTCAGGTCTTACATGCAGTTGGTGGTACCCAATACCCGTTGTATTGGTTCAGCCCTTTCCCTTTTCCCTGCGATGTGGGTGTTCCATCTGATGGGGTCATGGGCTGACCCCGGGCATTGGCTCGAGTGACATTCCGAGTTTTGAAACCTGAGCTATCGGTGGTCGAGATACTGGACTTGCGTTGTCTCCGACCATCCGCCTGCACTCTTTATGCTAGCCGGCACGCACGCACTTTGCTGTTGGCAAAACCTGATCGCCAATTTAAGCCCCCCCCAAATTCTGAGCGCCTGAGGAAATCTGGGTATTTGATTATTGGAGCTGGGGTCCCCCCCCGCTTGTGCGCGGGCGTGGGTGGTCCCTCAGTCGGGGATTCTGGGGGCCTGTCTGCTGCGGGTACTCTACTGCTTGGAGGAAGAAATGGAACTGCTGCAAGTGTGGAAGTCGCTCAAGCAAGTAAGGAGCTTTGAAACCTCCTAATACCTAAGGGTTCACACTCTAGTACATCCTTCCTTTTTCTCCCCGGTTTAATGCTACGTCTCGAACGATAGGGCGCTCAACACTTCACGATGGACAGCTAAAATCTGGGAAATGGGGAAGAAGAAAAATACCATCCATTTCGCACTCATTCAATTACCGACCAATGGATTGATTTCATCTAATTTTTTTGAAACCTCTGTCAACGACTCTGTAGCGGTTGGGAATTGAGGGCCGCATAGGGGAAGCCTTCGATATCTCATAGATTCAACCGATCACCGAATACGGTGCGCTTCAACGTTCCGAGATTCCCGGAAGAGCAGCTTAAGCTTGTCACTGATAGGACCTCTTCCGGGGAGGATTCATGTGGTTGATGTCTTTCCGAGCACAGCATGCCAAATGCACATCATGACTCATGCAGAATTAGCATATCGTACGATATATCTCTACCGGCTGCCAGAGAGGTTGTCACACCGCGATAGCCTTTGCACGGTGCTTCAACCACTTTGCGAATACAATGCCTCCCTGCCCTTCCTTTCGGGAACAACCAATGTATGGTGTTCGCCGACTAGGGGGAGCCGGAGAGATATGAGGAGTGCAGGGCGGTAGGGGCAGAAGGAAAAGAGAGAGCGCTTGAGCACGGTATTGTAAATTTACTATGGTGCGATAGACACTCTTAAGACTAGTCAGCCCCTGCATGCAGGTTGGTGGAGAGCTTGTCTCCCTGCCAACGCCCTGCCCAATCCCGCCAGTATCTAACTTACCATCTTACTCAAGTATAGTACCGTAAGAACTTTTGTAATTCGCTTTCTCCGATAGGCTTTTAATATCCAGATTCAGAAGCAAAAAGCCCCTGGGAAGGATTAGTACTTTCCTGACATGGTGGTATAGCCTAAGCCCTTGGGTTGGATCTCATCAACTGGTGCTCGCAACTCTGCTGACCTGTCAAGCCAATCATATCGTGGACTAATGCGGTGATCTCCGTGACAGCAAATTCCGGGGGTTTTTACGGTACCGGAAAAAGTTCAGGTCCAAAGGAAAGGGGAAAAAAGAAAACAAACTTGCCAAGAAAATCTCTACCAGATATCACTTCCGCACGCAGATTGCCCTGCTAACTCCTTGGGGTTTGGGATGGATAACTAATTACTGGTACCGGACCTATCATCTCCCAAACTCAACTTATCGTTGGAGCAGTAGATTTCTGTGCGATAATAATCTTGTAGGGTGCGTACGAGCAATCCAGCTGATATGGTGTGCTGACCTCAAGCATGTTACCGTATTCTGATTCGGGAGCGGGACTAACGATGTCCACCTCTAGAGACCCCACTCGGGAAACAAAACCGGGGAATTTTTTCCCTTTCTCTCTCTCGATCACTTTTTTTTCCTTCTTCCTCGGGGCCGGGACCACATGTTATGCGCGGGGACGGCTCGAGAACCAGGCCTCGACTCCTCCTCACCCCTCTGCGGCGAGCCGGAAGTATTTTATGATACGATACACCCGGAAAGCAAATACCACTGCTCAGGCATTGGGATGGCGCTCTACTTTCCGGGGTGGGCAGGGAAACCGGGGGGAGAGTGAAAAAGAAAAGAATATGATACCGTATTACCTACCATATGTGCGCTCGGAGCGAGCGCAATTTTGCCTTGGGGGGCGGAAAGTTAGTCCGTCTGCTGTACCTTTGATGCGATACCACGACTCCTAGATAGACGGGCTGACGGAGTCCCGATGTGAGAGAAAGAGGAACAGGAGTTCCGATTGGGTCTATATTTGGGCTGTCCTCCCACACCGACAGACGCAGAGAGATATAATATGTAGTCACGGGGGAATCGTCAGGCCACGTGAATTTTTACTTATGGTCAGAAAGGAAGTGCCGGCACTGTACAGTACTGCAATGGGTGCAGTATGGGAACATGCAGTAATTAGTAGTAATCAATATGTTTCCTTCTATCTCTTCTTATCTCCCTTTCTCTCTCGTATCCTTACCCTCAGGGCCTGAGCCCCATCGGCGGGTACAGTATATTACACTGTCACAATACTCTATGCTTCTGTGACATGGCAGCCAAAGTGCAGAACTCTAGCAAGGGCGAGGGACAAACAAAATGAAAGAATAATGTGGGGTTTCTCTCTCTTCAGCTGCCGGGTACGGCACGATACGATACCAGGTAAGTTACCGGTGCCCGTGAAATTAATTTCCTTGCGGCAAGAGCGTTGAACGGAATGGCAATGTAGACGGAGCAGGGAAGGGAGGAAAGAAGCAAGCAAGCAAGCAAGCAAAGCGATAGGATGGAAGTGAGGGGGGGGAAGAAGGGATGGAGGGGAAGGGCGCTCCCAACCACACAGCATGACACAGTTAACTTCGCTATGTTGTGCTATGCGATACCGGTAATTCCTTTCTTCCTTCCTTTTTTAACTTCCTCTCACTCTTCTCTCCTAATGGACATATGTACATCAAT